CATGAGCCACTATGCCTGGCCTTGATTTTTAAATTGTGGCCATTTTTGCAGGAGTAAGGTCATATCTCATTGTGGTTTTAATTTGCATTTTCTTGATTAGTGATGTTGAGCATTTTTTTTCATACGCTTATTGACCATTTGTATATCTGCTTTGAGAATTGTTTATTTATGACCTTTCCCACATTTTGATGGAATTTATTTTCTTGCTGATTTGAGTTACTTATTATTTCTCAATATTAGTCCTTTGTTTGATGCAGAGTTTGCAAATATTTTCTCCTGCTCTGTTGGTTGTCTATTTGCTCTGCTGATTATTTCTTTTGCTGTGTAGACCTTTGTAGTTTAATTAGGTCCTATCTATTTTTGTTTTTGTTGCATTTGCTTTTGGGTTCTCGGTCACGAACTCTTTCCCTAAGCTAATGTCTAGAAAACTTTTTCCAATACTATGTTCTACAATTTTTACGGTTTCAGGTCTTAGATTTAAGTCTTTGGTCCTTTTCGAGTTAATTTTTGTATAAAGTGGGAGATGAGGATTCAATTTCATTCTTCTACATGTGACTTGCCAATTGTCTCAGCACCTTTTGTTGAATAGGGTGTCCTTTTCCCAATTTATGTTTTTGTTTGCTTTGTTGAAGATCAGTTGGCTGTAGGTATTTGGCTTTATTTCTAGGTTCTCTATTCCATTGGTCTATGTGCCTATTTTTATACCAATATCATGCTGCTTTGGTAACTATAGCCTTGTAGTGCCGTTTGAAATTGGGTAATGTGATGCCTCCAGATTTGTTTTTGCTTAGTCTTGCCTTGGCTACGTGTGCTTTTTTTTTTTGGTTCCATATGAATTTTAGAATTTTTTTCTACTTCTCTGAAGATGATGATGGTACTTTGATGGGAATTACATTAAACCTGTAGATGCTTTTGGCAGTAAGGTCATTTTGACAGTATTGATTCTGCCCATGCATGAGCATGAGATGTGTTTCTATTTGTGTTGTAAATTATTTCTTTTTTCTTTTCTTTTTCTTTTTCTTTTTTTTGAGATGGAGTCTTGCTCTGTCGCCCAGGCTGGAGTGCAGTGGCGTGATCTCGGCTCTCTGCATCCTCTGCCTCCTGGTTCAAGTGATTCTCTTGCTTCAGCCTCCTGAGTGATTGGGACTACAGGCGTGTGTGATCACGCCCGGCTAATTTTTGTATTTTTAGCAGAGACGGGGTTTCACTGTGTTAGCCAGGGTGGTCTTGATCGCTTTACCTCATGATCTGCCCACCTTGGTGTCCCAAAGTGCTGGGATTACAGGTGTGAGCCACCATGCCTGGCCATAAATTATTTCTTTCAGCAGTGTTTTTTAGTTTTTCTTGTAGAGATCTTTCACTTCCTTGGTTAGGTATATTCTTGGTATGTATGTGTGTATGTATTTTACTTAATTTTTTTTGCCACTGTTGTAAAAGGGATTGAGTTATTGATTTGTATCTCAGCTTGATGTATTTTTTTTTCAGCTTAATTTCTCAGCTATTGGTGTATAGCAGTGCTACTAATTTGTATACACTGATTTTGTATCCTGAAACTTTACTGAATTCTTTTATCAGATCTAGGAGCTTTTTGAATGAGTCTTTAGGGTTTCCTAGATATATAATTATATCATTGGCAAACAGTGACAGTTTTACTTCCTCTTTACTGATGTGGACGCCCCTTATTTCTTTCTATTGTCTGACTGCTCTGGCTAGGACTCAGTACTATGGTGAATAGAAATGGTGAAAGTGGACATTCTTGTCTTGTTTCAGTTTTCAGGGAGAATGTTTTCAACTTTTCCCGTTTAGTATAATGTTGGCTGTGGGTTTCTTTCTTTCTTTTGTTATTTATTTTTCCAGATGGAGTGTTGCTCTTGTGGCCTAGGCTGGAGTGCAATGGCATGATCTCAGCTCACCACAACCTCTGCCTCTTGGATTTAAGTGATTCTGCCCCCTCAGCCTCCCAAGCAGCTGAGATTACAGGCATGCACCACCATGCCCTGCTAATTTTTATTTTTAGTAGAGGTGGGGTTGCTCCATGTTGGTCAGGCTGGTCTGGAACTTCCGAACTCAGGTGATCTGCCTGCCTCGGCCTCCCAAAGTGTTGGGATTACAGGCATGAGCCACCACACCTGGCTGGCTGTGGGTTTCTAATAGCTAGCTTTTATTATCCTAAGGTAAGTCCCTTGTGTGCCAATTTTGCTGAGGGTTTTAATCATAAAGGGATACTGGATTTTGCCAAATGCTTTCTCTACTTCTATTGAGATGATTGTAAATTTTTTTTAAAATTCTGCTTATGCGATGTATCACATTTATTGACTTGCATATGTCATACCATCCCTGCATCCCTGGTATAAAATTCACTTGATCATGGTGGATTATCTTTCTGATATGCTGTTGGATTCAGTTAGCTAGTATTTTGTTGAGGATTTCCACATCTATGTTCATGAGAGATACTGGTCTGTAGTTTGTTGTTGTTGTTGTTGTTGTTGTTATGTCCTTTCCTGTTTTTGGTATTGGGGTGACTTATACCACCCTAATGACTGGTGACATGGAATGATTTGGGAAGGGTTCACTCTTTATTTTGGACTAGTTTCAGTGAAATTGGTACCAACTCTTCTTTGCATGTCTGAGAATTCAGCTGTGAATCTGTCTTGTCCTGGACTTTATTTTGTTGGCAATTTTCAAAATTACTGTTTCAATCTTACTACTTGTTACTGATATGTTCAGAGTTTCTATTTCTTCCTGGTTTAATCTAAGAGGGTTGTATATTTCTAGGAATTTATCCATCTCTTCTAGATGTTCTAGTTTGTGTGCATGTAGGTGTTCATAGTAGCCTGGAATAACCTTTTGTATTTCTGTAATATCAATTGTAACAGCTCCCATCTCATTTCTAATTGAGCTTATGTCTCTCTGAAGCTCAAATGACTCCTAACAAAATTCATCACAAAAAGATTGTTAAGAAGACCCATAGTCATCAGACCATCTAAATTCAAGATGAAGGAAAGAGTCATACAAGCTGTGAGATAAAAGCATCAAGTAACCTATATGTGAAAAACCTGTCAGATTAATAGCAGATTTCTCAGCCAAAACCCTACAAGCCAGAAGGGATTGGGGTCCCATCTTTGGCCTCCTTAAACAACAACAAAAATTGTCAGCTGAGAATTTTGTAGCCAGCAAAACTAATAACACTTCTTCAGAAAAAACCCTTCTTCAGAAAAAAAACAAATGCTGAGAGAATTTGCCACTACATCTAGCATGATGAATAGAACAGTACCTCGCATCTCAATACTAACATTGAATGTATTTTTTTTAGACAGAGTTTTGCTCTTGTTACCCAGGCTGGAGTGCAATGGCACAATCTTGGCTCACTGCAACCTCTGCCTCCTGGGTTCAAATTAATCTCCTGCCTCAGCCTCCCAAATAGCTGAGATTGAAGGCACCTGCCACCTCACCCAGCTAATTTTTGCATTTTCAGTAGAGATGGGATTTTACAGCCTAAATGCTCCACTTAAAGATACAGAATGGCAGAATGCATAAAAATCCACCAACCAAGTATCTGCTGTCTTCAAGAGACTCACCTAACACGTAAGAACTCATACAAACTTAAGGTAAAGGGGTGGAAAAGATATTCCACACAAATAGAAACCAAAAGCAACCAGAAGTAGCTATTCTTATATTAGGCAAAACACTTTAAAGCAACAACAGTTAAAAAAGACAAAGAGGGGCATAATATAATGATTTAAAAAATTAGTCCAACAGGAAAATATGACAATTCTAAATATATATGCACCTAACACTGGAACTCCCAAATTTATAAAATAATTACTACTAGACCTAAGAAATGAGATTGATGGCAACACAATAATAGTGGGGGTGTCAATACTCCACTGGGAGCACATGACAGGTCATGAAGGCAGAAAGTCAAAAAAGAAACAATGGACTTAAAGTATATCCTAGAACAAATGGACTTAACAAATATTACAGAACATTCTACCCAACAACTGCAGAGTATACATTCTATTCAGGAGCACATGGCACATTCTCTATGATCGATGATATAAATACTTGGGTAAAATTGGAAGGTGAGTGCTTAGGTAGAAATAAGTAACTACTGAGCCAGTGGAAGTAAAGTTTAGTTGGGGAATACTTTGTATGATACTGATAAATGAAGGCTTATTAGTTTTAAAAGTGCTGGCCTTATTTTTGTAGGTACAGAGTAGTGTAAAGGCAAGGCTTACTTAGCTTTTGGTTTTTACATACATTATTTATTTAGTATGCTAGATATTTTTTAAGGTGCACTAGCCACTTCGGATACTTTCACTGTTGGGAACTGAGATTTTTTAGATGCCTACATTGACTACTAATTTTGGGTTATTTTAGGTACATGCTTATTGAAACAGTATTTTACTTAGCCTGAATTTTAAATTTTGTTTTCTTATTATTTTGTTAAAGTGACAAATGTTTGTCACTTTGAATATCTGAAAAATAAAGACAGCTTTTATTTTTTTACTTTTTCAGCTAGAGCTTTAGCATGAGAATTATACTTTGACACAGAAAATTAGGTTTACAAGTGAAATGTAATAAAGTATTTAGGAAAGAAGGAGACTTTATTTTATAACTTTAAGAGAAAAATATGTGACATTAAGGCATTTGTAATTATTTTGTCTTTTTTTAACTTTGGGAATTAAGAATTTTTGCTTAACTGCTGAATTTGCAAATTGAAACAGAGTTTTGGGTTTTGTTATAAAAGCAAAGTAATATTTTTATTTATTTTATAGGATTATATACTATAACAACTTGAATTTATGGTTGGATTTGACTGAATTTATGTAGATACTAATTTGAATGACTTATATACAGAAAATGTGCAATATTTTAAGTATAAAAAATTAAGCTGGAACTGTTTGCTTTGGGAACTGTTTCTTTTCTTGGTTCATCACACTAATGGTCTACCAATTTTGTTGATCTTTTCAAGAGCCAGCTTTTTGTTTCATTTATCTTTTATGTTTTTTGTTTCAATTTCATTTAGTTGTACTTTAATCTTTGTTATGTTTTGTCTTCTGCTGTGTTTCAGTTTGTTTTGTTCTTGTTTCTCCAGTTCCTTGAGGCGTGACCTTAGATTGTCTCTTTGCACTCTTTCAGACTTTTTGTTGTAGGCATTTAACACTGTGAACTTCCCTCTTAGCACCACCTTTGCTATATCCCAGAGGTTTTGATAAGTTTTGCCACTATTATTGTTCAGCACAAATAATTTTTAAATTTCTATCTTGATTTTATTATAGACTCACTGATCACTTAAGAATAGATTATTTAATTTTCATTTATTTCTGTAGTTTTGAGGACTCCTTTGGAGTTAATTTCCAGTTTTATTCCACTGTAGTCTGAGAGGGTACTTGAAATTTCAATTTTCTTGAATTTAACAATTCTAGGCATTCTTCTTGGTCTTAAATTTAATAGCAACCACAAAGCATGTATATTATCACAATATTAATTTTCAAAGTTTTTTCTTTAACATTTAAAACCATAACAAATATACACATTTAGTGTTTATAAAAACTCAACTATGTCTTTATTAATAACTTTATTATAAAATTTAATAAACCATGTTTTTCAAAATAAGCTTATAGAAAATCCAGCTTCCCCAAAATGCTAATAGTTAAGTATGTCAATGTAATAAATAAATCATTCACTTGTACCCATAAAAATAATTAGTGTTATTTGCCTTCACTGTAAAAAAAAAAAAGACTTTCATTTTTAAAATTACATTAAAAAATATTCCATACTAAGCACATTTGTAGCGTATATACTAACATTAGTTTATACACTACTTTTGCCACTAAAAAGTTCAAGTTAAAATGTCCCTCCGTCACATAGCTCTAAAACATATCTTTCATTCATAAGTTCCGCTCAAATAATTAAATAGTTTGCCATCTAGGTTATTTTCATTTATACTATAAAACAAAAGTTACATAAATCAAGCCTCATCACTCATACCTGCGTCTCTTTGGTTCTTCCTTCTGTCTTCCCTCCCTTCCTTCCTTTTCCTGTTTTTGTTTCCACTGTCCAGCTTCTAAAAGTCTTACATGCAGTTTTCGATAAACTTTCTTCATTAAGTCCAGAAGCCTAAGGTTAATTGAAAATAAACATTGCCTCATCATCATTCTGAACCTCAAGCAACAGACCTCTTTTTTTCAAGGAATGAATAAAGGCTTACATACAATGATTATTTTTTAAAAGAATTTTAATTTTTCAGAGTCAGAATCATTGCACAACTTGCCCATTTCCATGATTTTCTTGTAGGATTGAAAGTACAAGTCGCTATATAATCATGGCCTAATTTCAAACTTGAGACTTTTTTTGTGTCAATTCTGAAACTAGTATTTATAAGAATAATTTAAATTTTCATAACAGAGATTATAATGTAGAATAACGGAATGAGAAAAAATAATATTAAGATTTTGCTTTGTCTCATTAAATCTGTAATAACCCCATGAGGTTATTTCACACAAGGAAACAGGATGATTGAGAGTTGGCAGCTATATTCAAATTACAGAGCTAGTAAGGACTGTACAGGGACTTGAAAACAGTACATCAGATTCCATGCTGTTTTTATTACCTAAATGTTCTGTATTAAAATGCAATGTAAAACTGTTATTACAATGACAGGAAGATCCTTCTTTCCACTAAAAATGTATGAGATACATCATCGCGAGAAATGCATATTTGATGATGCTGATGATAATAAATCATTTGGTTCTCTATTATATTCAGTAAGAATATAATTGTTCAAAGTGGTGGCTAGGTGTTGTGGCTCATGCCTGTAATCCTAGCACTTTGTGACACCGAGGTGGAGGATTGCCTGGATCCCAGGAGATCAAGACCAGCCTGGGTAACATGGCGAGACCCTGTCTCTTAATTTTTTTTTTTAATTAGATGGGCCCGGTGGCTGAGGTGGAAGGATCATTTGGGCTCAGGAGGTCAAGGTTGCAGTGAGCCAATATGGCACCACTGCACTCCAGCCTGGGTGACAAAGAATGCCTCTGTCTCAAAACAAAAACAAAAACAAAAACGAGTAAACAAAAAATACCTGCATTCTGAGGCTCTGAAAGTTCTTCAGTGATCAAAGAAATATTTAAACATATCCTAATTAAGGCAGAAGACTTAAGTGGAAGCCACAATGTGTCAAGTACTGTTCTAGCCTCTATGAGACCCAGAAACATCACTGGTGTGATCCCTGCCTTCAGAACACATAAAATTAATTGGGGAGACAAGAACGTTGCTTGAAACAGAAACGTCACTGGTGTGATCCTTGCCTTCAGGACACATAAAATTAATTGGGGAGACAAGAACATTGCTTGAAATAATTAAGGAATACTTACGTGGCATAGGTTGAGTAAGAACAGGAGGTTGATAATTTTACAGATCATCAAAGTGTGGACAATAGTGAGATACAGTGTAAGGGAAGAAATATGATATCTGTGCTGGACCCTTAAATGTTCAAATGTATCTGTGGAAACACTTGATAGTTATGGCAGTCTTCCAAGGCTGAACCAAACTGCTTGCTTAGTCTCTGATAGTATAACTGATTTGATGTCCCAAAGAGGGAACAGGGATGGGAAAGAAGGTCAGTCCTTCATTCCTTGGTCCTAGAGACTTGGCTATGTGAAAGGGTGGTAATTTGCATGTTGTCATGGGGCAAGGGAAGAACCTAGGTTTGGTTGAGTATTGAGTTAGAAAAAGGTAAAAAATTCATTTAGAGTAAAAGGAGTGATCCCTCCAGTTCCATGGAAAGCAGGTAGGAAAGGGATGTCTTCTAGGACACGCTTCCTAAACTCAAAGGTTTATGAAATGCTTCTAAAGATCTTGTTTAAAAAATACTAACTCAGTGGACTTGATGTGGCAACTTGAGATTCTGAATTTAAAAAAAAAATCTGTTGAGAAGAGTCATATGCAGGGAGAAGGTTCAGGAAATTTAGAGGAGGACAAGGTTGGATTGGAAAGTGGGCTTGGAAAGAGGCGTAGGGATGAAAGCTTTTGTGAGTAGAATGAAGCATCTATGTGGCAGGGAGAACAGAGTATAGGTAGGACCAGAGATGATGTGGCTGTGAATCTAATGGCCCTAAGCCTCAGGGCTTCTTGCTTAATAAAGTTGACATAGTAAAATATTTTTAAGCATCACTGCTTAAGATTATTGTCTTTTTCCATTCTCACTCACATTTTTGTCTGGTGATGCTGGAGTGGCTATGGGTATTTTGGGGATTCAATTAGTGGGAAATTGATTGGGGATGCATTTGTTTTATTTTTATCAGGATATATTTATATGGTTTATCAGAATATATTTATATGGTTCACTTCCATGCATAATTAAGTTATTACTAGCCATCTCAGTGCAGTAGAAACTTGCAGAAATAATCATAGTTCCCACTGTGCCATGTTACACAGCAGTGTGACTAAATGGTGCAGGGCCAGATGTCATATCATGATATCAACTTTCCTAGTGCACTTGGGTACTAATAACTCTTAATTGCTGCAAAGGTAGAAAAGACCAATCAAGGCTGGCCTAAATCAGAGAAGGCTTCATGAAAGAAATGATTCAAACTGAAACCTGCAGGATAAACCAGCATTTAGATAAGCAATTAAAACAAGCAAATCATGTGATGTGAGTGGAAAGACATGCACAATTCACTGTTATCGCTTGTGGGACCAGACCTCAGAAATGAAAAGAAACAAAGCCTTGCCCTAGCAAATATTTTGACCTAAGTTAGAAGTAGGCATGAACATGCTATTCAAGCTTCTCTCTTAAAAGAAATGGAACGTCATGATTGAAGTCATAAGTTTTACTGGCTAGACTTTCAAGAGTAATAGCAATAGGTTATTGTGTGTGCATATTTAAAGGACAAATGACTCTCCTTCAATGGGAAATTATTTTAAAATTATACAATAAAGTGATGGAAGAATATGAGTCACTTTTTGCCAAATCAAACTACAAGGAATGTTCCGATATCAAAGTTTACCTGTACTTTCCCTGGCAGAAAAGCTGTTATTGAGATATATGAGCCTGGTTGTAGAAGAAATAGTTCTACCAGTTCTGGGGAAATCATAACTCACAGTAATTCAGTCCTCCTGAGATCTTGGCAGAAATCAAGTGTTACTTCACAACAGCTGTGCAGTCTTCACGGGTTACCTCTGTGAATGGTCAATGATGAATGGCCAAAGGGAACATGGGGCTTTGATTTAGTTGAAAAGGTCCTAACTGACATAGCACACCTGTGAGTACAGCTCTGTATTTTGGGAATAGCAACAAATGTTTCTGATTCTTTGGTGCCTGAACATCTAGTTAAATTTATTGACTGGATAACTGAAACAAGACGACTGTGACATTTCAAAACATTGTCGAAATTTTGGGACTTTTTTTTCAAATCTCAGAGCCAAAATCATCACTTCATTTTGAGCTCCAAATGATCTCAGTATGATATTTAGCCTGACATTGATCTTTAAATGTAAAAGCTTAAATTATCTGAGTTCATATTAACTCTACTATCTTGCCAAGTGCTGTTACCTTCTTGGGATGACTTGGGCCTGGAGGAGGAGTAATTTGTGTAGTAGAGTGGCACTAGGGGTATGTGATTTGCTTTTAAACTACTTTACTGGGCTCTCTAGAGATTGATTCAAATTGTTATTATATGTGTCTGTCTTCAAGGCATCTTCCTAAATAAATTTGTTTAGTAATTAAGGAGATATGGATCCTTGGCTCTTGAATTTAGAATTTTAAGAGAAAACATTTTAGGTCTATTTTTTTTTCCAGTGCCGTTTTCCCTCACCTAGGGTGATAGTTAAAATATTTACCAACTAGGATGGCTGTACATTGACCAATAAAAGCAGCACAAAGGTAGGGGCAGGGTGGCCACAAAGCAGAACCTTAGAAACTTTAGTGCCTGAACAAACTGGTCCACTGTTCTATTTAAAATCATTACAACCATTTACAGTCAGAAAAACTTACATACATAACCAAGTTCACATTGCCAGCTGTTAGAAAATGAGGATAGGAAGCATAGACTTATAACTCCCTAAGGCTGAGGTCCAGTGGAAAGAGCCTTGGTTTGATCAGGGTTTGCATCTGAGGTCTACCACTTAGTATAATACTAACATATGAGCCAATGAGAACAGTGATTGTGTGTATATTAATTCATTCACTACATATTTATTAATCACCAACATATACCTGGCTTTTAAACTAAACCTTGAAGGATAAGTCAATAAGCACATTTCAGATACTTAAGATATATATTTGTTGAGTGATTTGAATTTTGAATGACAATGTTATCTGTATTATAAGGGGAAGGTAGATTAAATGAGAGGACATTTTAGTACCTGGAAGATAGTAAGTACTCAATACATGCTCAATGTATATTTATTAATTTATTTGATTTCTCCATGTTACTGCATTCTTTCTTAATATTTATATATATTTGCAATGCATTAAACATATATTTTTCTAGCTTGTAGAGATCTTTGATAGTCTCTTTCTTTCCCTCACTCTTGGATTCAAAAAACTGGTTTGTGGTTACAATAGACTGACATCTATACATCTAAACCTCTACTTATGAATACCCATATCATAGATTTTTCACTCAGACAATAAATCCTTATTAAGTTCCTACTCTTAGCCCTAGCATTTTCCAGACCTTGTGAGAAATAAAATTTATAGGGCATAGTCAATGTTCTTGAATTACATTCAGTCCTGAGACCAAGTAAAATTTATATGTATACCTTAGTGCAGCATATTCTAAACTATTTACTTTGCAATACCAGTGAGTTTGCAAGATATTCATGGACAAATACACTGATAAAACTCTATGTTAAACATTTTTAAATTATAGTACTTTAGTGACCTTTCAATATCTTATGACTTGTGAAAGTCTAGAGGTAATTATGCAGTGACTTTGAAACATACATTTTACCAGGATGCCTATTCACATTTATCAGGATGCTAGTATTCCACAGAAGTCACTTTGTGAAATGATGTAAGAGCTGGAAATAAAAAACACCTGGGCACTCATCGTTTCTCTGCCACCACACAATTACATGACATTAGGTAAGTTGCTTAACTTTTCTGTGACTCT